TCATATTATAAGGTAAGGTTATAAAACCACCTTTTAAGAGCATTTTAGTGAAAGTTTCATGTTCCTATCTTATAGAATTTAAGAACAATGATGAATAAATAATTTTCGAGCAAAATTTAAATGGCCGGCTGAATATATTACCGCAGGAGCCGCGGCCGCGGAATTTAAATGACCACATCAAAGGGTTAAATATCATTATTATATGGTTGTGTCAAAATATTTAAGGCACCTTCAATTATCTGACATGTAAGAAAATTGAAATTTAATTTCTTTAGAGTATTAGGAAAGAAGAACTCTAAAGATTAAGAATAAATTCGGTGACACCTTAAAATCTTGCTTCTTCACATCCCATTTGTTCATTAAAAAGTATGGTAGTCACACTTGAGAATTGTTCGATTTGGCTTGCCACTTTAGCCAATAGATGGTAATGAAAATGAATGAAAATGCAAGTGTGGGCTGTCTCTTTCATAGACCTTATACAAAGACCAAAATCTTTTAGTTACAAGAAGGGAAGCTTGTTTTTATGTTAAATTCTGCTGAAGTTATTTATTTGAAATATATTACATGTTTTATGCCAAAAATAAAAATATTTTAGGATTTTATCTCACAGTTGTGATCCCTAATGTTTATTTGCTTTGCAGGTTCCTTTAAAATATACTAAAAAGCTGTTTAGAATTATGTGATAGCGCAGTCCAAAATTGTTGCCACTCAAAATATGAAATGAAATAAATAATAGAAACATTTAAAGCCAAGCAGAAAGATTACATAGTTCTACTGGTTTTCTTCACTTGTAGTGAAATGCATACAAATTTCTGACTACTGAAACATGGCAGAAACTGTGTGGTACCTACATATTTACAGATTAACCTCTCTCAAAATGAAATAAAGCAGTTTTGCTGTGGAAGTATAAATTGTGCTGGGGAAAGTGCAGAAGAACCAACTGTAATGGGGAATATACTCTACCTCAGTGATACAACACATTTACACGCTACTATTCTAAGCATATTTAGTGTTAAACACTGAATTTTCCCATTTGAGTTTAATTTTATATACAGAATTCTGAGCAAGTATTTCAGTTGAATCTCACTCATAGATTCAACGCTTAGTTAGATTTAGATCAGATTTGATTTTGAAGTTTTCACAGTGGTGGTTATGAGGAGTTCTGTCTTCTGGGATAAAACACTGTGTAGCCCACTGAAAGTAAACTGATGTTTCAAAGAAACATAATGTCTGCCTCATCAGGGTCTGCTTGCTGCCTACATCATGCTGGTTTCTTGCTTGGCTTACCCATTTATCCTGAAGATGGAGGCATTTTTTGACTACAAAGTGTTATATCCCAGAAGACATAACTCTTCATAGATCAGCTTTGTCTGTGCACTGATTAAGAGATTCTTTCCTGATAGTAAGACCATGTCTCACAGTCATACAAATCAAAAGGCAGACTGATAGAAATTGAATGACTTTGGTCTATTTAAAGACACTTCTGGATGCCAGTACAGGGCTTGTGTAGCATCAAATGAGACAGGAAGGTGATAATTAATGATGAGTAATGATGGGAATTTGGAAGTATGTGATCATGACCCATTTGATGGTACTCTACTGGCATTCACCTGGAGAGGCCGAAAAAGTCATACAAATGTAGAAAATTTTATTACACAGAATTGCTTCATGAATATCTGTGGAAAAGATATAACATTAATTTTCTAAATTTCAAGGTGACAACTTTTCAGCAAAACTTATTTCAAAGTCTGCCAGATTATAAATTTTGACTTCACCAAGTCCTAGTTCACCCTTTTTCTGATAAGCACACCTTCCCCTTGCACTCATCTTACCTAGTCTTGGGCCACACCATAGCTCAAGCAGTTAGTCACTTGCTTCCCACCGCGGCGGCCCGGGTTCGATCCCGGGTCTGGTCAAGTGAGATTTGTGGTGGACAAAGTGGCGCTGGGGCAGGTTTTCTCTGAGTACTTCGGTTTTCCATGCCAATCTTAGTTCCACCAATTGCTCCACAATCACCCTCACCTATCATCTGGGGCTGGTGCAATAGGCCAGAAGTGGCCGCAGTACAAGGGTCTTAGTCCCACCCCACTAGCAATAAAAAAAAATAAAATACGTAGTCTTACCTTTTTTTCTCTTAAATGGGATCCTTATTAGTCTTATTATTAAGCCTCCTACACTCAGAGAACTCAAATAAGAAAATTTCACATACTGCCATTCACACATACACTCATTGGAGTGAAACCTGCCTTCACTGTATGATTTTGTAGTGAAATTATCACTTTGTTTCAAAGTTTATAGCACACAGGTCATACCTAGCCGTTGCTAACTCTTTGTTTCTCTGATGATGTTTAAAAGTGGATACTATTTTGTGTTCTTTCAGCATCCTTCACTTGTATCTTATCTTTGTTATCCAAAACATTTCAAGCACAATTCGTGAGTTATAAGGAAACTTGAAAATTATGCCATCACTTAACATGAGAAGTATGTTCTATTGAATATGACTCATCTGAAATGAGTGAGCATGCAAGGAATCTGTCTTTATTGGGAGAACTATATTAGTCTTCTTTTTATATAATCAATGTGATCAGAGCGAAAATATAATTACTCTGACTGTTATACAGTTTCAAAGGATCAATAAAATTGTTACCAATAACAAATTAGAGATAAATGGGGAAATTGCAACAGGCAGCATCTGTGCCATATCTTAAATATTATTCCAGTCTTCCTGGTTGACTGAGGAAAACAACATTCAGGATAGCTGACTTCTAGGCTGAAAAACAAAATCAAGCACCTCACAGATATAAATAAAAATTGCTACCCTAAGTATTGTGATAACTGAGGCATTTTTCAACGTCATTTACGAGTACAGTGTCATCCTACAAATTTAGGTAATGAAGGAGTTAAATGATGAATGTATGAATGTAAGAGCGGTAGGCCTTCTCGGCCCTTGCACCGCAACCTACAGTGGTCTATTGTGCTAGTCCCAGTGATGTGACAGGAATGCAAGGAGAAACCTTAGTCAGTATAGCAACCATAACAGTCTATGAGTTAAAACAAATGTACACAGCGAGTCAGGTTTCATACCAAAGGGATGTCTATGTACACTCATCTAAAGCTTGAGCAGAGAACAGAGTTGTACAGAGATGCCGAAACTGAGAGTTTCACTGTCAGGCACCAGGTAGCAGCAGTGTTGCAGAGAGGAGAAAGCTCATCCAATCACTGACCCTTAAATGGTACATACTTGTATTTATAGTGATGTATTCCTTTATATTTGTACCTGTCTGAATCTGCAACTAATCCATTGCCTTTGTGATTAAAAATGTGACTGCTTTGATCTGAAATAGAATAAAACAGATGCATTAGGATATGTAACACATCATACTTATCCCATACAGCTAGAGTCAAAAGTGCTTCAATTATTTTATGTTGACTGCCATAAAAATGAGGTTTTAAGTTTGTAATAACAATGGAACATAAAAACTTTATTATGTGTGAGCTCTCCATATCAAGCAGTCCCTTGTCAAGATTGCATGGCACAACCTCACAGTGCAGGTGAGGAGATGACCTTCAGGTATGGAGAGAGCTGTGAATATATTGAATACAAAGATGACAAAGAGGGAATGGCTCTAGTTTTGTGGTTGGTTGGGATAGCAGCTACTCGCCATATAAAACTAGTATTTTACAGAATATTGCACTGTGCCTCGGGCTGTATGTTCTCCAATGCACATGGCATTGAACCTTCAGGTTCAATAAACAATGGGGAATTTCTTGACTATATGAGTGACTCTTAGCTTCTCAAGAAGTGATCTGCTCCATGGAGTTAGTTATAACCTTCTTTATTAAATAGTAAATTTTATAAAATTCATCTCATAATAGTTTCTTACATTAAGGTTATGGGCTCATAATTTCTGTGGTGACAGTGTAATAGTGAAAATAAATTCATTCTGTAGTTATGTGAATTTCGTACCAATTTCCATGCTGGTTTGTTATTTAGAAACATCTATCTTGTGTTTAGTTTCCTTGATAATAAAATTTGTATTGTCGAAAAGCCACAAATAGTTAACATCAGGTGTTCAGAGACAGGTTTCTTCTCCTGATCTTTCCAGACACTAAGTAAATTTGGAACAGAAATACCAGTGTTTCACTCAAGATATGTTGTGCTCAACATGGAAAGTGCTAAGAAAAAATTTTTATCAGAATAGTTATAATGGAAAATTAATAAAAACACAATCAGTTGTCTACACCAGAGCCAATAAAATTAAATTATGATCATGGAATTTGGTAAAGAATAATGAGAATAGTCTCCATGCCTCAGAGAGAATTCAAACCAGAGTCATAAGCATCTTTCATTACACGATTACCTTATGGTACTTATATCAAGTGCAGAAGCTACACTCTGCTGAAAAATATTTTATGTGATGTTTGTGAATGTTGAGTTGAATAGGATATTGAAATAAGTAACAATATCTTATTCTGAGGCCTACTTCTAGCCCTTGGCTTGATGGACCTCAAAGACCAAGAAATCTTTGTGGCGGACTGATCTGGGTAGCATTTGAAGTATGAGTCATATGCATTACAGCCATTGGTTTAATCTTCAAACTGGAACAAGAGGAGGCTGAGAAGAGGAAGATGCATTACAGCTGAGGTCATGAACTAAGGGTGGGATAAGGTGCCAAATTTACTAGCACTGGTTTAATTTTATCTCTGTTATGAACTCAGATTTCCATGAATGCGAATGGTGTCCACGTGACTGGTATACAGATTTTTCATCAGTGAACTTACAATTTTACTTCAAACCATTTACGTGCCAGATCGAAATTGAAGTACAAAAGAGTAAAAAAAGGGCAAAAGTAATTAATATTTACATCATATGCATTATTAGAATTGGTGGTCTTGCTCTTTATATTTTTGACTAAACTTTTAAAGAGAACAATATTTAATAGGAACATAACATTACTTTAATTCCAAACTGAGGATCAAGCTTCTGAGATTGTCCTAGCCACTTTTTTTTTTCTTTTGTACAAGAGTGTTAAATGAATATGATTCATACACAGGAAAGAACAGAAGTACTCTGAATCAAAAACTGTCTCAGTGCTACTTTGTCCACCACAAATCCCAGATGATCTCTTGCATCTGTAGTGCATAAAAAGCATCAACATCTCGGCCCTGAGAGTAGTTCAAACTACTGAAATATCCATACTGGGACTTTTCATATTTTCTTGATAACAGATACTAATGAAAATCATAATGGCCAGCCAATGGAACCAGTTGCTTATCGTTGGAACTTGTTGGAGCCCAGTATTACTAATACACAGAAAGTGTTTTTAATTTGTCAGATGTGAGGAAAGAGGAAGGTGTAGAGAGGAATCCATAACTTCCCGAACGGGGGCAAATGTCTTACTCCTGAATCACCATGTCCAAACATTGCTGACAGGGAAAATGTTAATTGCCACAGCTTCAACGCCTCACTCACCCTCATATTCGTGATTATTTCCACTTTGAATCTGATTCATAGGGCCTTGATAGGTGGCTGCAGGGGACATCGGTTGCTGCTGATAATTTTGCCATTGAAGGTTGTTACTGTTGCTTCCACCGCTGTAGCCTGGTCCCTGTCCTTCCCTGCCATACAGTCTGTTGCCCTGTTGTTGCTGTTGTTGCAGTTGTTGGTTGTTTTGGGATACAGGAAACAACTTCTGACTGCTGCTGAGGTTAACACCATTATTGCTGGCTTGAGTTCCTGGAAGTGTAAATGTAATAGTGAATGATCAGGTGAAATTTGATGAGATAATGGGAATAAGTATGAATAAGCTTGTCAATGATTTCACAATGCGCACTATTTTAAAAAATTAATACCCACTGGATTTCACTACTCCAAGCAACATTTTTGCAGCATAATATTAGTATACTAGCACAAAGTCCATCTAAATTTCAACACAAAGTTATTAAAACCAACTCTGTCAAAAATGTGTAATTTCAATAAAAGGTAAAAAAAAAAAAAGAATATAAAGCTATCCCTGTAGCAGGCCATGAAGGCCCATAGGGTTGTGAGACGTCGAGGCTCCCACATTTTATAAACAATCAGGTCACAGATGAAGGTGAGGTTGTCAGCCTTACGAGCCAGCTGCCCTTTACCCTCCATTAAGATTCCTGGTACTCATTTCTCTTAGAGGCTGAGTTGACCCCAGGGCCATAGTGCGGCTGGAAGGATTAGGTCAACTGAAAAATTGTCTCATTGGGAAACAAACCTGCGATCTTCTGGCCTGTAGCATAGTGCTTCAACCAACTATGCTACCACGTGCCCTTATGTAACCCCAGTAGCTTGATATATTCTTGTTAAGACATCTGCATTTATACTGAGGTGCTAAATTTGATAGAATAACAATATGCAATAATTAATACTTCTATTTAGAATACTTCTTTTTGGCAAAATTTAACGAATGTTCAGCAATAACTCCTCAAGCATAGTGCTGCCATCTTCAGCTTTTATTCATAACTACTTGCTAACATACATAATGAGAAAGAGCAAACCTTCTCTTTTTTCATGTAAGGACTGAAGTACTTCATTTTATATGAATGTATCATTTTCAGGCGGAGGATTAGGTTATATTTTCTCCAATAGTGTGCAGTCTCCTGCATATCATCATTCATGCACTGAAAAGTCTGACCTTGACATGTTGCTACTATACTAATTCAGACTTCACAATAAGCAACACAGGCTGTCATTTCTTACCATTCATGGGTAACACTGGGCTATGACCTATGTAACTAGACATGGCTACACCAATATCACCAAGCCAGCTTGCCAGTGAATGAAGATAAGAAAAACCTTAATCTGAATAACATACATTTTTGTTCGAATATATACGGGACAGCCACGCTTCATTGAATGAGTGCTGCTGACTGATTGCTAAGATTGTGGTCTTTGGAAAATAGTGCTGTATAGCATGGTAAATACAGGTGTCAGCACTTCAGAGGAATGTGCTACCTCCATTTTCAGAGTCAGAGTGGCCCTACAGCTGGAGGTAGCATACTGCTCCAAAACAGTATTATGTCTATCATAGACAATAATCAGAACACTTACTGCTATGAGGACTTCAAATCTGAGTGTAGGTATACAGTACCTTATGGTTTACTGCTTTATTCTCAGATCAGCAACTTGAATTACATGAATATTGGCCCTAGGACCGCATAATTCCAATCTCTTTCCATAATCTTCACTGTAGGCATTTCAAACAAATGATTATTTTTGCATAGGATTCTGTTCCACCACTGAGAAAAGTGACTCAAGTGGCAATGCTTCTGATTTGTATACAGGAGGTTGCGAGTTCAAATTTTGTCCAGGACAGCAACTATCCAGAGTTAGGTTTTCATGTTTTTCCTCAGTCCCTCCAGGCAAATGCTGGGATAGTGTATTAAAATAAGGCCATTAACACACCTTTCCAGTACACTGTTTCCTTTAATTAATCATTCTTCCTATATAATCTGATTGACTGATAATGTCACGAAATTAAAAATACAAAATGTATACCACCATATTGTTGTGGTTGCTGTGGTTGTGGCCATCCCTGCTGCTGTCTGTACAGTGGAGCAGCACCACTGTGTGCTGACAGTTGCTGATTGGCCACTGCAGCACCAATCACCTGTGACTGCATCTGCTGGTTCATGTTCACTTGTTGCTGTTGGTGGTGCATTTTGTTGTATGTAGATATCGCTGGAAGTGGCCCATTTCCTCCTGATTCCTTGTTGTCATTCACTGCTGGCAGAGTCTGCAGTGCTGGAGGTGGTTGCGTAGTGCCTGTAACGCTGTCTATCAGTGTCCTACCTTTCAATGACATTATTAAATCAGTATTTCTAAATTTATTCACTACAATAAACTTTCAAGTATTAGACTTTTTAAAACATTTTGAATAAACTTATATTTATACAGAGTGGACTCTTCAGCTTCGTGAGTAGAGTGACAGACTGCTGGCCGGGCAGCTGGGATTCAGTTCATTGCAGAGGCAATGCTGTTTCCTTTTGCCAACACCTTTATACTGGTGCTGTCCCATCCTTTTATTCATTGGGTACTAAAGATTTTTTTTCTTGTGGAGTAAAGCTACAGAGCACAAAGCTAATCACTCATCTCTATCTAATGATGCAGCTAAAAGTGCATGGAGTGTTACCTCTATGCCCGATATGTGTTCATGGCATGGTACTTAACACAGGACGACTAGTCCCACAAGACTTATATTAATATTGTCATACGTATGTGTGACTGTAGGTGGGGTATGGATTGGTGAAACAGGTCATAACTACAAATAGCTATAACACTATCGCTGTTTCTACATTTTATAGTTCACTAGAGCACACAATCTAGTGTTCTCAGTCTATTACTAGATGTTTCCTGGTAATGGCTCCAACAATGGCTATTCCTCTGCCTCTGGCTCAAGTCCACCTTTGCAGAATCCTATACAGAACTGACGAAACCCAAGTCAAAGTCACATTGCGACTGACGGTCATTCAGTCAGTCAGTAAGTCTTGGTGTCAAGCCCATCTGGTGCTCATGACCAGATATTTATTGCTTTTTGACAGTTATGGTCTTGTTTTTTGTGGGGCGTCCTCTCTGACGAGAGGACGGGTCTGTCTTCTATATATGCTGCTGCCCCGTTTTGTAATTATAATGACTTCCACCTGTACATCCCTAATACCATGACATAATACAGTTATTAAGAACTTAAGAATAAGTTTCAAATAGTTAATTACCTAAATCCGGACAGTCCAGTTCCAGTGCCTCATCACTTCCATCTGCACACTGTGGGATTCCATCACATGCATTGTAGATTGCAATACATTCGCCAGAACTGTGGCACTCAAATTGATACCGGCTGCAGTGACGTCCTGAAACAATCATAAGTACATCATTTCGTTTAATGTGCTAATAGACACTACCTGATAAAATTTACAGTGGTGCATGATGTTGAAACTTCATTCCCAGTCAACACATCCAACATTTATATGCTATTTGTAAAATCATTAATACTAATACCACATATATGTTTAGTGTGTCCAACATTAACCACACAATGACACACACTCAAATTCTGACAAAGTGGTCTGGAAAATGTTTGTACCAAAATCAGATTAACCAAGTTCACAATGTGGGGTATTACAACCTGGCAAGACATTGAACTTATTCAGTTTAATGCCAGTATGGTCAGACATTTTGAGGAAAGCAACAAATAAAACAGGTATAGTCCACATAATATGATAAATTATATATATTATGTTATTTATTAAAGTGCAATTGGGTTTTAGCCCAGTGGCAGTAGTACACAATAGGACACAACAGACAAGTAACACACATTACACTAAGTGACAACACGTTCAAACAAAACAATACACAAAACACAACAATAAGGACATCCTACCACAGTGAATACAAATCAAATACGATTAACAACTACAACAATGAAACACAGAATTTGAGCAGTATGATTTAAATTTAAAACTGCGTTGTTTACAGGAATTGTAAGGTCATCTTTCTTCTCCAGTTCACCAAATTTGTTAACGTTGCAAACTACCTGCCTGGTTTGACAATATTATATGTTACTTTATGATGCCACACTTCACCACTGAGAAGCCATGCTATACTGACCATGCTAAATAGTTCTGAATTCTACCATGAGATTATTTCTCTTTACCAGACTGTGCACAGTGAGGAAATGCAAGGTTCATACAAGTCAGTTAGTGTTAGTGTCCCTATAGTGAAATCCGAGCAGATATCTTGGAAAGTGGCCACAAGGAAGATGAATGTAAATATGGGAGAATTTCTCAAAGCTACACATAAATCTTGTAGAAATATTTTATGAGGGTGGGAAAACAATGAACTGTCTCAGGATTGTTTCCAGTAATGGGATTTCATATTAGTGATTCAGAACTACACGTCTTCCTGCCACAGTACTGTAGTTTAGTTATTGGTGCTAAAACATATGGTAATTTTGTTTAAAGGATTTAATTAATTCTTCTGCACAACCAACTAACTTAGGAGTATAAAGTACAACAAATTGTGGCAAAAGAGCTTTATAGTCACATGACTTGAAAGGTTAAATTATCTTTAAAGCAATGCCTGCTTGAGAATCCCTGCAGTTCTTATAGCAACTTGTACATATTTGGCGATTCGTGCCAGCATGTATTTATTTTCTGATGTTATATTTCAGCATCGTGCTGCATTGATACGTCACTCATTTCCACTTACTTCCATCTCTAATGCAACACAAATTTTTATTTTAAAATGTCATTTACAGTCACATTTAAATTTCGTAAAATGTCATTAAAACACAGTTTATTTAATTGTCTAGTGGTCAGAGTTTATGGCTACAGAACCAGAGGTCCTGGGTTCGATTCCCGGTGCTACCAGATTTTCTGAGAAGTAGTGGGGTCTGGAACCGGGTCCACTCAGCCTCGTGAGGATAATTGAGGAGCTACTCGAATGGAAAAGTAGCGGCTCCGGTCAAGAAAACCGAGATTAATGGCAGTGGGGATTCGTTGCACTGACCACGCGACACCCTCTACCCGCAAAAGTTGGCACTAACTTCGCCGACAAGCGGCGGTCGCTCGATCGGTACTTGCGGACTACAGGCCACGGAGTTGTATAATGTTTCGGCCCTATAAGGTCATCCTCAGGTAGCTGTTAATTGACTGAAATCGCCGCACTGTATCAACCCATATGTCGATAGAACGGCATCCACGCTTTGTCCCTTTTGTGCGTAGTTTACCTCAGTCGGGCGTGTATCCCTTGTATTCATTAATACAAGGAATTTGAGAATTTGTGATTGTCATCCTACCAGATCCTTGCTCTCTTAGTTGTCAGTATTACATCAGAAACCTCGTGATGGACTGAGATTGAAGCCGGGTATTTCCCGAATACAAAATTGTGATGCATTACCGCGGCCCTAACTTGTTCCATGTGAGGCAGGATAAACCAGTAACGCTACCGGCAACAGGATGAACGACGGGAGTTCGACTTCCGGCTGGGGCAGGACGTTCTGCTTAAGTCGCTCTGGGACCTACATGGGTAGCAGGAGCTCTTTCTCCGAAGAGTGGGCGAGGCGTGAAATTAACTACTCGCTTCCATCTAGTGTCTCAGTAAGGAATAAACAAAGATTTATTAGCACCACTCTCCCTGTACGAATTTATCTGCGGTTCGTAGGTGCAAATGATCCACGTGTTATTGACCTCGCGCTAGTTAGAGGTGAGCGGTCAGCTTCAAGCCCCGACACCTCTTTATCCCCGGGGAAAGGGCCCCCTTTTCCCATTGGAAAAGAGGTTGGGTGGACCCCAGAGCCTGTCTAGATAACGGGGGAGAGGAGAAGATTCTTGCCACTACCGGGACTCGAACTCCAACCCCTCGGCCATCCAGGCCGTAGCCAGTCGCTATACCGACTCCTTGTGATTCGTAGGTGTAGGAAGAGATAACGTTCTCATCTTGTTGAATGGCAGAATTAATCACATTATTTTTTCTTTCAGAAGCAGACAGACTTGGCTGTTCGAGCGGTAACGCTCTAGATATGCATTCGGGAGGCATTCGGTTCGAATTTCGGCCAAGACACGTGCTGTTCTGAGGTTTCTCATGCTGTGACTCGGGATAATCAGGTAAATTCCACGATAACATCTATATTAGGCCGCGGCCGCTTCTTTCTTGTGCACTGTGTACAAGTCCTCTGTCAGTACAGGCTTTGCAAAGCGGATTGCGCCTGTCTTACTTATCTTACAATATAACGGCAGCTTAGTCACTTGAACGTTCGTAACCACGACCGCCGCCAATTTTAAGTCTATCATATTTTCGACGAAGTCAATTCAAAGTCAAAGTTACTTTACTACTGGCGGTTTACTGTCAGTGAGTTCTTGTTGGCGCCAGGCACCTTGAGACTCACGACTAGAGATTTCTTTCCCAGCAGAATTCTAGTGGTTATAGTCCTTATGTACATTCTCTCTGACGAGAAGATGGGTTTGTCTCTTATGAATACGCTTGGCCTTTCGTCAAGTGTACATTTCGCACATATAACACGTTAATGAAAATTCTTCCTTCTGCACGACACACAAGTCTTTTGTCAGTACAGGCTTAGATAGTATTTTTTTTTTTTTTTTGCTATATTCGACTGTCAAGATCAAAGTTATATTACGGCCGACGGTCACTTGGCCAGTCTCTCTTGGAATAAAGAACCCATCTGAGGCTTAAGACCAGGTCTTTATTACTGTCAGACAATTGCAGACATGATGTGGGGCGCTCTCTCTGACGAGAGGACGCGTCTGCCGTTTGCCAGAGTCACAGTCAGCAATAATAAGTCAGTTTTCAGTATGTACAATTTACATTTACATGTTATTAAATGTACAGAGGCCTTGTATATACAACATATACAAGGCTACTGTCAGTCCAGGCTCACGGCAGATTGTGCCCTATCATTTGTAGCTCCTGTTACAACAGCAATCTAGTCACTTGATCGGTGTTATACTTGACCGCCGCCAAGTTTAAACCTCTATATATTCGACTGACTAGACTTGTCCTGCTTATATCATCTCGGCACGGACCGCGTAGAAAACACCGCTTTTCATTATTGTATTCAATTGTTGCGTTCGTGGAAACATGTTTGTTTGCGGAGCCGTTACTTAGCAACAGCTGTTGTATATTTCACGTTCTTTGCCTAACAACGCGTTTACATGCCACAATATTCACCAGTATCTACTATTTAGCGTTATATAGTATAACATACGGTTGCATGGCCAGGATGGACATCCAGCTAGAGGAAATGGAGGCCTATCTAGAAAAGACGGGGGTCGCGGATTTGGAGGAAAATCCAGAAGAAATAAAGTTCGAAGTCGGAGCATCAGAAAGTCCATGGTGGAGAGGCTGCAGTGGGGTCTGTCGGAGCACAGGAAGGCCAATCGGAGGACCAGCGACCAGCCGTGGTATGGCGGAACCAACGGAGAAAGCGGACCAGGGGCGATTTTGAAAGAGGAGCGCCCAAAGGTTCGACTATCGAGAAGAGACGACGGAAGGGCCCGGAATGCAGCAGTGGCATAAGGAACCTAGGCTTGAAACAGCAGCTACGCTTGGGAAGCAAGTAGAGACTATTTATGGGCTCTCGGACAAACCATCGGGCTGGAGATCGCAAAGGAAATACCCAGGTCTTCCGTCGGCATTCGAAAAACGAGTGTTAAGATATTGTGTAGTAGCCGGCCACCACCCAAACGGAAGGAAAGACGACTAGCAGCTTAAGAACCAGAGATGTAGCAGTATTGACCACTCGCGGAACTTTTGCCCGCACCGATCGGAAAAGAAGTTGATGGCGATGTACCTGGACCGACTGGCACCTCATCAGGAAGCCGCTCAGGACGAGCGGCCTTAAGAAGGAGTAGCGGGAGAATAATCACCGTGAGAACCGAGCCAAGTGAAAGGAAGATGAGACCAATCACAGATGTCACCAACACAGCCCTCGGAAAATAAGAAATTGCGGTACGGCTACGAATAGCCTTCCGGAGGGAGCAATGTAACATGTAGGCCCATTGCTGAGCAACGACCGCGATAAGCAAATATACAGGAGTCGTTGCGAATAACGGCTTCGCAAAAAGAAACGTGTTCCCACGGGAACGATTGAACTACAATAATGAGGAGCGGTGTTTGCTACGCGGTCCGTTCCAAGGGATTGTAAACGGGACAAGTTTAGAGATAAGTCAGTTGTGGGATATTCACCAGCAGATAAGGGCGTAAGCAGAGGAAATTGTTAGGATCCGTTATCAAGAAACGACTAGCGAAGACAGAAGACTTTATGTGTGCTGCAGTTACAGTGATCTTTATAGTGTGTAAACCCGTGAGGCTGTTATAGTTACTTGTAGTTACG